TTTGGGACAATAAAGCAGATACAATTGTTTAGATTAAGGACATTAGTGCACAAAGCATCTGAAATGGTCAACATATTTGTAATTTTCACTCATCATTTTGGGGAGCAATTTGGAAGCTTGAGCGACAGATGTGAGACTCGCCAAGGCTTGTCATTTTTTCTACTGGGTTTATTTTGATTGATTCCATGTATGCTTAATGCACCGGTTTTACTGTATATAGTGCTTTTTTGGACACTCAAAGACGCTTCACATCATTCACTCTACTAAAGTACTATTGTAGCCACAGCTGCCCTGGGGCACACTGACAGAGGCAACGAGTATGTGCATCCCCTCCAACCACACACACCCACACACGCACACGCACCAGAGTCATTCTAGGCAATGGGGCTGAAGTGTCTTGCCTATAGGACGCAACGGCAGTTTGGCACTTTACAGCCGCAGCCGTCCCACCTGCTGTTCCCAGAGGTTAAGTGTCTTTCCCATGGACACAACAACAGCTGACATCAGTGGAGAAAGTCTTGTCGTGGGCTCGAACCTACAACCTTCAGGCTCAAAGGCCAATGCTCTACCAACTGAACCACTGTCGCCATACTTGTGCACAAATGGGAGGGAAACATTTAATTCATTACATTAATATATATATGAAATGTGAATGAAGTCAGCTCAAGAGGCATACTGTCATGGTGAATGTCCTTTAATTTAAATATGTTGACGAAAGATTGAAAGAAGTGTGAGAATGACATTTTGGCTTTGGATTCTGTATCAGCCTGAATGTACACAAGGTAAAACATTTTTTAATATAAAGAAATAGGTTTTGCCCTTACAACATCTGCTCATGTTTACTTGACACTCCAATTTCCCCGTAGCAATCTATCTTTCTGGCATGTGTCACATTCATGTCGTGCACCAAGGTGAAAAACACCACAATCAAATCAGATCTCACAGCTACCAAAAGTTCAGTTTGTGTAACTTTACTTTCACCGAGGATGTTGAACGCCAGACCATTTTAACTTCTGTCAGAGGATTACATGGAAGAGAAAAATGTTCACACTGTATCATCTGCATCTGCCGGCCAAGACCAACACTTTTAGTTCAAAGGAGCAATTTGCATTTCCCCCTGAAGGAAAAGGGTGGACGAGCTGCAGGTTAAGTGAAGGAAATAAGGTTTTAAATGAGGCTAAAGGGTTTTATTTGGGGAGCCTGAACGATTCATGTTGCCAGGATTGGATCTGCTCTGTGTACAATCCCTTCTATAATTCAGTGAGGATGAAAATGGGTGAATAGAACACGTTGCGCCACTGGCATTTTTGTAAAATCACTAATAAATCAAATTAAGAATCAACTGAACAGTACAACATTGAAACTTGCACTCTAACAAACAGGACATAGAAATTAGATAAATGATGAGGATTATCCATGCAAAGATCCAATTCAAGCAGTTCCTGGTGGATTTTAGATAATAGCCTTACTGTAATAAAGTAAATGTATCTGTATCTGACAGTTTTGCGATCATAACACAGAGTTTACATGATAATTATAGCCTAAATACAAAACAAAATATAACAAAGTGCATGGCTTCTTTTACGGTTTTCTAAAAATGTTTCATATCTGGATGTTCCTGTAGATGTATTCGCTTATGCTTATGCGGTGTCGAAAAAGGCCTGTTTTAGAGGTATTGGGAAAATAAATGGGTCGAACAAACTTCTGACTTTCAAAATCTTCATCTAAAGTCACAGCGCAGAGCAAACAGGAACTCAGGGAATTGCATTATTATGGATCATGGCAATCTTATCATCCCCAAAGAGCAGGGGTGCTCATACGTTGATTACGATTGAGATCTCGAGAACCAAAGACACGGTGGGTGACTCTCATGAGACTTTGCCTCGTGCATTTTCACTGTGCGAGCACATTTCAGATGGGTTTCAATCTCACCGCTGATCAACGTGGCTTTGACAGCGCATCTAAAAAAGTCTCAGCGTAGTCATGTAAGCTCCAAGGGCATACATGACTGGTCACTGCCTGCCTGTGCGCATCTCTCTCTCTCCGTAGTGCACAAGGGAGAACATGTTTCCCACAGAACTATACATAAGGTCTCGTTATGATTCTAAAACCATTAAAGGAGCTGATACCAGTTTCTGCAGGTTTTTTTCAGTTTGAATGTTTAGCCCCGCCCCCAACTCGCTCACAGGCTTCACATTTCCCCTACTCTCTCCTGCCACGGAGCCATCTGGTTTTATTTGCGATCTGATACATATGCAAATATTGGCATTAGCACAACTTGTTGTAAGCTGTAGAACAATCACTGATGAAATGGTACAAAGGCAAAGCACTGCTGTCAACTGAAAGAGTACCGCTTGTTTCGCGTCCAAATGTAGTCCGAGGTGGTCCCGAACCCGCAGGTCTGTCCAGAGGATACGATGTAAGCTAGCTATGTTCACCCGGGGTGGATTTCATCTTTGATCATTTTTTCGCTTTAGTTCCCTCTTCTCTTCCTCATTGTTGTGTGGTTTGGGCTGTTTTGCTGTGTCTGCAGTTACAGCCGGAGGAGTTATAGCCACTTATGCTAACATGCTACTGTGTTTAGCAGCGCTGTAGAGGCTAGAGGAGACGGCCTGTTCGTAACAACACTGTTCCTCGTTCTATGATTGGAGGAGTTTCTACGTCACGTTAAGTTTCTACTCAGCACTTTTATACGGCCTGAATTTATACACAAGCTGAATCAATGAGCTCAAGCTTTCAATTAAATTACGGATTTTAATACACCTTGTGTGTAGTAGCGGAGGAAGGTTTCTCACCCATCATCAGTACTTCTTAGCAGGTGTTCCAGATGTTTCTTCCTTCATCAAAAGAATTTTTTCAAGGGAAAGAAATCTCACGAAACGTTGGGAAAACCTGCTACAGTGTAAGAAGTACAGATGATGGATGAGAAACCTTCCTTTGCTTTGACTAATCTCTGTAAGACTGAGAACTTACACAAACTTGTGTGTAGTAGTACGCATTTTTATGAACTCGTTAGAAAATAAATTGGGTATAGCTTCTTTAACAACAAAACAAGGAATAAAACAGGGGATTTCTATTTTTGTGAAAAAGGTGTGGGTTAAAGATTTGTTGTTGACAAAACTCTTGTCTCTTCAGATGTTATGGTCCCAGCTGCATTCATCTGCATATCTGGCAACCTGAGTCAGGGAGAGTAGAAAGTGTTGCAGTACCACTTTTGGTGCTTGATTTGTACAGACTGCTCCTTTAAACAAAATACTCTTACTGTATAAAGCTTACAAAAGTGACTCATACCTGAAAACCCAAACAATATTCTCAAGATCACAAGAGCTATGGAGATAATGATAACCAACTCCCAAAACAGCCATGGTCGCCCTTACAACTGTTGTCGAAATATCTTTCAAATCCCAGTCAAATATGTTTTGTACCCATGAACATTTTGGTCAACTCACACTCTCTCGACCGTGACTTTCCAGCAACCATGGGGAGCGCACGTCTTGCCCCACACATAATAGTATTCAGTCTCGCCCAGTCCCGAGTGTCCATCTGTGAGAGTGAAGGATGGCGAATGGAACAGGATGTACCACTCTGCTCAAATACTCATCAATTTTCCCAAGCATTTTCTATGTCCCCAAGTTCATCTATTGGCTCCCCATAGACACTCCTTAACTGTGATTACTTTGCTCTCTCAGCCGTCCTTGGTGGGGCAGTGGGCCATTACAACTTTTCTTTTTTTTCGATCCATGCTCAGTGTATGAATGTGTGTGTGGTAATAGCATAGTAAATCTGCTCTGTTTTTTTCCAATCTGTGTTGAACGCTGCATTCAATCAATCTTTGCATTGGGACCGACATTGCACTTTTTACATATTATTCTCGCTGTTAGGTTAGGGAAGTACTTTGTTTAAGAAGGAAAACAAGATCTGCCTCTTCCTTTAACTCCTGAACACAATAGTAATGATTAATGATAAAAAAAATAGATAAATAAACAACTCTGTAAATCGGTCTTTACAAGGCCTTCTATACTTTTGCTCCAGTTCTGTTTAAATACAAAACTACCCATAAAAATAAATACAAACATATCAGAAGCAAAACATATCCATGTTTGCATGATGTTAAAATACTGGTGCAGTTGCATTAGCATCTCTCATATAGCAACTAGGGCTGGGCGATATGGCAAAAAAGTAAAATCTCAATTTTATTCAATTTTCAATAAAGTCGCCGAAGACAGACTTTCACCTTAAAAATGTTTCGATTTTTCCGCTCAATATTTAAGTTTCAAAACTATTTCTAATTTGTTTCCCCCAATGCGTATTATAAAAGTCTTGTACAGACTGTGCTGATATTGCAAGTATAATTCTTGTGCTGCTGGAACTCACAAAATCCTTCATTCGATTTCACAATTTTCAAATTTTTCATATTCAATTTTTTCAAAAGCCGATTAATTGCCTAAATTCTATTTATTGCCCAGCCCTAATAACAACTCTTATTTACTGAATCATGCAAGTGTACAAAAAGGCTATCAAGGCCAACCACTCAAGCTTGGAAAAATGCTGCAGCAGAAAACAAGTATGAAGGAAAATGTTGAAGTATAACCCATAAAAACTTAGCTAGTTTTAAATCTTGGAAAACACACAACACATTTAGGCATTTGTGGGAAACATCTGTTGGACCTCATCGAGACACTGATCTTGTAAATCTTCTGTTTAAGAATAACAGTGCTTCTCAAACCGTGGTGATTGTACAGGCTACTGCTGCTGATCCTCTGCTGGAGTGTTTATCAGAGACACATGATTTGCACTTTGATAGTAAAACCTAATGGTCTAATTTATCAACATAGTTTGGGTAAAAAAGGTTGATAAATATCTCAAATACATCATACAAAAACATCAGTAAATAAACAGTGTTTCTGAACTGACTGCAGGGCAAACACAAACATATTAAATTAATGCAGCTTGTAAGATGGTAAAAGTCTTTGCTTTCAAGGCAAAACTGTCCCAGCCAAATGCTCACAAACTGCAGCGCAGCAAAAGTAAATAATATGCCTAATTGATTTCTAAAATACAATTTACACAATCACATTCACAAGGCAAAAAGCCGGCACAAATATACAGTCTGTCTGGCAGTAATTCACTGCACTATTGATTTACTTTCCATCTATAATTCATGCTACAACACACACCTCAGACTAAAGAGGCCGCAGACAAACACACACACACGTGCACACACACACACACACACACACACACAGTTTCTGAGAAGCACAAGCAGAAACTCAACACCTTATGTTGCCTGGATCTATGTGACGCCTGTCTACTCACACTGAGGCTAAATGGATTCTCTTATATTAGGCTAAGGCTGAGAAACAGAACAAATTTATAGTGATTAGTTATGATCATATTTGTCACTAGCCCTGAAGGATTTTATTTATCATGATTTTTAACAATGAATGAAATAAATCCATCTCAAAAGAAAAATGTCTTACCCCAATGTCAGAACCATGCTCGAATCCTGCAAAAGACATGACTATGGGACTCAGACCAACCTGATCAACAAAGATTAAGATTAAAACATCAATTATATAAAGCACTAAACACAAACTGGATTTTTATTCTTATTGTCTATGTTTTTTGGAAATATTTTTTTTTTTGACAATCCTATCTAACAATATCAAGATATATTTAGTAATGGGAGCAAGCTGAATACCTTCTCCCTAACTCAGAATCAGAAGTATTTTTATTTCCTTTTGAATAAGAAGAACTCACGAAGTAGGAAATTGCTTTGGCTCTCGGTGCAAACAAGTTAAGGAGTAAAAAATAGAAAAAGGCATCTCTGAAATATTTTAACAGTTCATTCTTTCTGTGAAAATTGCTATATGAATAAACTTGACATTATGTCCATGACCACAGAGTTTAATCCATTCGAAAAAATACACACATCTAGATGATTAGTGTAGCTCCTGTTAACTATTCTTTCAAAAAACAGTTTCAATTTGTGACTGAGCCCTGTAAGAAATATGAATACAGTTCTCAACATTCATGTCATTTTCACAATATCGACAACAAAATGGAAACCTTTCTAAACGATCAACCACCACTTTTCTCCACATGTATTGATTGGAAGGTTGTGTCATAGTTAAAAGCCAAAACATAAATCCAACTTTTCAAAAATCTATTTAGGTCATTTGCACTTACATACCAGGCAACGGTATTCCCACCACAGAAGTCTACTAACCAGAGACCTGTGGCTTTTCTCAAGAAAGTGGGGGCCAGTGGGTCGCTGTGATTGGTCATAATCTGGACCCGATACAAATTCTCTTGATCTTAAATAAAATGACACGCCAGCACAAATCTGCACCATTTTTTCTTCAAAAGGACGTATATCCCAATACACTGCATGGATATGGGTTGAATTTTTGTGAAGAATACAAAAATAAAGTGAGGTAATGCAGCTTTGAAAAAGGAATGGCATACACCCGAAAGCACAGCTGTGATTAAACTTGTAGCTACTGTATATTCATCATCATAAATCCTGGCTAACACAACAGGGACCACGTTCTAGTGCAGAGCTGTATAATAAAGTGAAAGAGATTTAATACGTCCTGCTCTTTTAGTAAACACTGCATAAAGACACCAACACCATATGGCCCAAACCGTCATCCTGTTTGTGTTTTCGTTAAAATGACTGGGTCACTCAAACAGCACGGCCGCTTAAATCTCATCATGTGTGCCGTGGATTGTTGTTTGAATCCCAGTTGGAAATAATCAACGTGGCAACTGCTACGACTGGCGTTTCTTATAAATCCCACGTTCACATTGAAGCAGTCTTTGATAATAAGTAAAATTTATATAGCATATTATTACAGACCAAAGTCATCCAAAGCGCTTCACAATGTTCAGAGTTCAGATTATTTTCCGTTTTCTCCACACCGTTATGGCAAAAGCAAGACACCCACCATTCACTCACTCACTACATACACAGCTATTGTACATATTTTAGTGATTGGGGAAACCGGAGCACCTGGAGGAAACCTACACAGACATGGGGAGAACTCAGGGGCAACACATGGGGCAAACTCCACTCAGAAAAGCCCTGTTCCGACCAGGATTCTTACCCAGCCGCACTCAGCCTCTCACAATAGGCTACACACATCTGAGAAATGTCGTAAAAATCCACTCCTTGGTCACTACATCAACGGCAACAAATTTTCTATTTCTTTGTCCAAAGCCATATACTGACTTTTTTGTGTTTTGAATGAATCGCATTAAAAACATCGCATTAATGAAACAAAACTGAGCGGCTCGACATTTTAATTCCTTCGCTCAATTCTGAGGAACACATTATTACAAGTGAAAGACACACACAACACATGCTTTTCCGGTTATGCAAATAGATGTCATATTGGCTGCTATCATGTGATCACACAATAATATTACTACAATGCTGCACTGTAGTCACTGTTTTTGTGTGATGTCTTTCTTATCTGGACCTTGTGTCTGTAATAAAGTTTAATACTAATAACAAGGGAATAACAAATGGAGAGTTTTTTTTTAAATTTTGACTAATATACACAGTGAAATTACTTATATGCCACTCTATGAATAAAGCAATTATTTGATTTCTCCCTTTCATTAAACGACAAAGTCTCTACAGATAAAACATAATTGAACACAGAGAAGACAGGAAATAAATAACAAACACTGAATCCCAAAATGGTTTTTTTTGGCTCATCAATTATTGCGTCTGTAGGTAGTATTATCATGACAGGACTTTTACTGCGCGTAAGGCTTGGATTATATATAACCCTTTGACAACACTCATTTTGGAGATAAATAGATAGATACTTTATTGATCGATGTAGGAGAAATTCAGGTGTCCAGTAGCAGCAAAAATAAGATAAAATTGATCATTCTAAAAAGCAACAGTCCTTCAGGTCACAGCAGCAGGGGTGGAGTAGCCTCTGGGTGGAGCAGGACGGGTCACAGCAGCAGAGGTGGAGTAGCCTCTGGGTGGAGCAGGACGGGTCACAAGGTGGAGTAGCTGCTTGGGTCGGAGCATTTTCTCTGCTCTAGTCTTAAGTAAAATGCCAAATGCTTCATTAGCATTTTTGAAAAAGTTAGCATTCCTCCAGTGGATTTTCACCTGATCCACTTGGTTTGGACCATGTGGCCTCTCTGCTCTGGTCTGGAACAGGGTAAAACCATGAACACTGTACTGCAGCAACATCTCAGGCAGAAAAAAGCAAGAAAAAAAAGACAATCTAAGGCACCAAACAACAACTGTTTCAGAGCTACTTAGGACTTGCAGCCGTTTTCCAGCCCATTCATAAGTAAAAAAAGCACATTCAGAAGTTAAAAAGCGCATTCATAAGTAAAAATGATCTCTCAAACACACAAAAGCAAAGTGAACATTGAGTAACAAATAAAAAAATCATGTTGTGACACTCACTTGTAGGAGATCCTTGGTATGTAAAAGTCACAAACAGAAAGCACCGACTTCAGCAGCCTGTCACAGTGAATCACAACTAGTCACGAAACACAAAAAACATGCTGTTATCTCCAATCTGTCCTCTCACTTTTGCACAATGTCAAATAAACTTTTCCTCTCCCCCTCGGCAGGCTTTGTAAATATCCCCCACAGTCTACTTTTCATGGTGCGGTGGAGGCTCGCACTTCAAGGCAGAGGCAGCTCCAATGACAGAACAAGAAAGACAAACAGATATGACAGCATGAACTCAGCTCTGGGATCATGGTTATTCATAAGAGCAAAGACACAGCTGGAGGAGAAATATGAAATGCCCAAACCGGAGTTCCTTTCTCAAATGAAATAAAAGCGTGTTATTCAAAGCAGACATAATATACTTAGAGAATTTCTCACCCCCCCCTCCTCGAGGCCTACGTCACTCACATTTTCTTTTCAAATTTCCCTCCAAATGGGCGTAGCCTGGAGGACTAAAGGGGACAGGTGAATGTTGGGCGGGTCTAAGCTTTGATTGACACTTGACATCAGCATTGGCCCTGACAAAGATGGAGAGTGATCACAGCGACGCCAGCTCTACAGCTTCTGTGCGGTCTTGGGAGATGGAGGACTTCTCTTCATCGTCCTCACTGGAGGTTGAGAGAGAGGAGGCAGAGCTAAATTCAACTAACTAATCTAACAATAAAAGCAACTAACTCATTGAATGCCAGCCTATTTCAGAACAGGTACTCCCACAGTGCCAGCCATTTCTGATGATTTTTACTGATTTTTCAAGACCCACAGAATATTGTGTACTATGACTATCTGAAATCCGACACCAGATTCTAAAAGAATGGACTGTCTACTTTCCTCAGCAAAAAGAATTTTGTTTATAGCTTTTTTCGTTCCCCTGTAATCCTCCGTCGAGTAGAGGGAAGTTTTACTGAAATCACCAGAAATCACCAGAAAGTTGAGAAAAAAGAGGCACAAAATGTGCACCTACATGTTTTCAAACCATTCAGAGAGCAATGCTGCCACCTGCTGGCTTGATAAAATATGGTCTCAAGTCATCCCCATACATATTAGATACAATAGACATCTGGGAACGTGAAAATAGCGAAAAAGGCAATTGACGGATTAATGCGTCAATGGCACACGACGTTACTATTTGCTTTGACGTATTTGTGCGTCAATGGGACACAATGAGTTGACTAAAACTTCAATATTAATCAACAATACTATTAACACTACACAATTATCTATAATACAAACAAACAGCTATTCTAATTAAAATCTACCTAAATGCTAAAACTGGCAAACGATGAAAATATTCTCTGCTGTTCCTTCTCCAACTCGCTACGGGGGCGTGACCGAGACTGGGGTCGTTTATATACCTCAGGGCGGCAGGGCTGCTGACGTCAGCCATCACTGCAGACGTCAGGTATCGCTGCAGACGTCAGGTATCGCTGCTGACGTCAGGTATCGCTGCAGACGTCAGGTATCGCTGCAGACGTCAGGTATCGCTGCTGACGTCAGGTATCGCTGCAGACGTCAGGTATCGCTGCAGACGTCAGGTATCGCTGCTGACGTCAGGTGTCACTGCAGACGTCAGGTATCGCTGCAGACGTCAGGTATCGCTGCTGACGTCAGGTATCGCTGCAGACGTCAGGTATCGCTGCAGACGTCAGGTATCGCTGCTGACGTCAGGTATCGCTGCAGACGTCAGGTATCGCTGCAGCTGTCAGCCATCACTGCAGACGTCAGGTATCGCTGCAGACGTCAGGTATCGCTGCTGACGTCAGGTATCGCTGCAGACGTCAGGTATCGCTGCAGACGTCAGGTATCGCTGCTGACGTCAGGTATCGCTGCAGACGTCAGGTATCGCTGCAGACGTCAGGTATCGCTGCAGACGTCAGGTATCGCTGCTGACGTCAGGTGTCACTGCAGACGTCAGGTATCGCTGCAGACGTCAGGTATCGCTGCTGACGTCAGGTATCGCTGCAGACGTCAGGTATCGCTGCAGACGTCAGGTATCGCTGCTGACGTCAGGTATCGCTGCAGACGTCAGGTATCGCTGCAGCTGTCAGCCATCACTGCAGACGTCAGGTATCGCTGCAGACGTCAGGTATCGCTGCTGACGTCAGGTATCGCTGCAGACGTCAGGTATCGCTGCAGACGTCAGGTATCGCTGCTGACGTCAGGTATCGCTGCAGACGTCAGGTATCGCTGCAGACGTCAGGTATCGCTGCAGACGTCAGCCATCACTGCAGACGTCAGGTATCGCTGCAGACGTCAGGTATCGCTGCAGACGTCAGGTATCGCTGCAGACGTCAGGTATCGCTGCAGACGTCAGGTATCGCTGCAGACGTCAGGTATCGCTGCAGACGTCAGGTATCGCTGCAGACGTCAGGTATCGCTGCTGACGTCAGGTATCGCTGCAGACGTCAGGTATCGCTGCAGACGTCAGGTATCGCTGCAGACGTCAGGTATCGCTGCAGACGTCAGGTATCGCTGCAGACGTCAGGTATCGCTGCTGACGTCAGGTATCGCTGCTGACGTCAGGTATCGCTGCAGACGTCAGGTATCGCTGCAGACGTCAGGTATCGCTGCAGACGTCAGGTATCGCTGCAGACGTCAGCCATCACTGCAGACGTCAGTATCGCTGCAGACGTCAGGTATCGCTGCAGACGTCAGGTATCGCTGCAGACGTCAGGTATCGCTGCAGACGTCAGGTATCGCTGCTGACGTCAGGTATCGCTGCAGACGTCAGGTATCGCTGCAGACGTCAGGTATCGCTGCTGACGTCAGGTATCGCTGCTGACGTCAGGTATCGCTGCAGACGTCAGGTATCGCTGCAGACGTCAGGTATCGCTGCTGACGTCAGGTATCGCTGCAGACGTCAGGTATCGCTGCAGACGTCAGGTATCGCTGCAGACGTCAGGTATCGCTGCTGACGTCAGGTATCGCTGCTGACGTCAGGTATCGCTGCTGACGTCAGGTATCGCTGCAGACGTCAGGTATCGCTGCAGACGTCAGGTATCGCTGCAGACGTCAGGTATCGCTGCAGACGTCAGGTATCGCTGCAGACGTCAGCCATCACTGCATTGGCACCAGATTCAAATGCAAATGTAGTAATACAGGTCGCCTGCAGATGGCGCCTCACAGAGGCTTTTAGGCAGAAAGTTGATCATTCAACTAATTTGCACTAAAGTGACAAAATTATGACCAGGATATGTAGACAACACAATTGGACACTCATTTAAACTGTTTATCAACAAAAAAAAATTGATTTGAGGATGAGTTGTCCTTTAATTATGACGGTTATACAATTTAAGGATTTAACATGTATTGTTTTCAATGATGAATGGGAAAATTGGAAAATTAGTAGATCAAAAGTGAATTTGCTTTTGTAACTTTAGTGACAATGTGAAACTAATATGTGACAAACTCATCACACACAAAGTGATATTTATCAAGTCTTTGTTATGATGTTGGTAAATGGCTCACAGCTTGTGAAAACCCAAAATGAAATATTTTAGAACGATTTGAAAATATCAAATCACATCAAAATTATAACAAACTTATATTTCACTTTGTAAGTAATGAATCTTTATCATGCAACAGTTTCACATTCACAAATTTAATTACAGAAAACCTTTGGACTAGATTATAATTTTCTCAGTTTCACCTGTGATGCCTTTAAGTGTTTCATGATTTGAGTTTTCCTTTCTTGTTTTGTAAATCAGTTTGAGGGCTTGTTTACACTTGTTTGTCTTCACTTTAAAAATGGTTAATTTGCGATAATTGCACATCCAGATAATTCCACAAATTAATTATTTTTTAACACGGCACAAAAAGGGACCCAAAAATGCAATACAAGCGTGAAAAAAACCAAAACAAAACGAATGTATTAAGAGAGAAAGTGCTGGAGGGTACACACAAACAGGAACACAGACCTGCCAAAAAAAAAAAAAAAAAAAAACAAGGGTCAAAAAATAGCACAGGAGACTTGGACAACGTAGACATTTCACCAGAAGATGAAGATGAAAAAACCTGGCACCAACTGGCTGTAGAGCTGGTACTTGTAGTGTGCAGGTGATGATTGCCTCCAGGTGTGCAGAGAGAGGCAGTGGGAGTAGAGCAGGCGGCAGAGACACAGGAAGTGACTTTTTTTCCCGAAGTGAACCAGAATTTGGTCCAGTTCAAGTGTGATCTGTGAATACATTTTTCTATACAATATAGTCACCATGTCTTGTGATATTTCCCTCCACTCAGATCAATGGTATTTAAAGGAGCAGTATGTACAAATCTGGACAAAAGTGGTACTGCACTCTCCCTGACTCAGGTTGCCAGATATGCAGACGAATCCAGCTAGGACCATAACATCTGAATTTAAGAGTTTTGTCAACAACAAATCTATAATCAACACATTTTTCACAAAGATAGAAATCCTGGTTTCATTCCTTGTTTTGTTATTAAAGGCACACCGCGGACTTTGTGACCTAAAGAGTTGACACATATGAGTTATTTTATATGAATACTTGGGCCAATATACAGCGCTTGACACTTGCAATGCTCCGAGCGGGGCTGCCCTCTTGAAATACCGCCCATGTAAGTTTCGAGCAGACGGACCGTCTGCCACCAGGTCACGTGACTTGGAAGAAACACTTGCTTTACGGCTACAGGCGCTGATATACTCATGGAGCTAAGGCTTTTGCTACTCATTTTTCACCTGCTCGACTCCTGGTCATGGCTGAGGCAAGGAAAAATTTTAAACCTTCGGAGGAGGCTAAAAAGAGGAAACGCGAAAGGGATCGTGCTGTAAGCTGCATGTCTGTATGAGCGCTGCTCTTCACCTGGTTCCTGGATGTCATCGACTGCAAAGATGTCATTCCACGCAGCACGAGCTAGACGCAGAACTCCCTCATCCAGGATATAGAAGTCCATGTGTGGTAGATTACTAATGCAGCGGTCTGGAGGCTGACCACAGCAGAGTCTCTCAATATCTGTAGGCATGTCTCTACAGTTTGAACACACACACCAGTGCATGCTGTCTGAATACACACTCAAAAGACACCGGCTGACTGTTTGTTGACTTTTGCGACAGTGCTGAGTTGCTTGTGGCCACTAGGGGCGCTAAACGTGAAAGTTGCAGGTCTAGCGCCCCTAGTGAGAATGCACCTCAAAAGACAAACGCTGACTGTTTGTTGACTTTAGCGACAGTGCTGATTGCTTGTGGCCACTAGGGGGCGCTAAACGTGAAAGTTGCAGGTCTAGCGCCCTAGTGGCCCAAGAGTTACACGTGTGCCCTTTCAATAAAAAAAACAGAAAAAATAGAATCTTCACTTTAAGAATACCCAATTTTCGTATGTAGGTAGTCACGTGATTTTCAGAAAGAAAGTATTAAACGTGAGGGAATACAGTTACTGGTAATGAATTACATGTATTCCTGCGTGCGCTGCAATTACCTTTTTTAATTTAAATTATTGACCATCGCTCCAGATATATTTCCTGGGTTTATTAATAGCTCCGTTAAATTGCATTAAATTAAAATAAAATTCCTCATAATTAGATCCATTGTTTTGATGAAGGGTCAGATATCATTCAGATCAGTTACAACCTTTCTCTTCTTCTGATGAGGTAAAATAACAGCATACCACAACGCTGACTTCTAACCTTATAATGAGGCTTGCCAGAGCAGGTTGCTTCAGTCAGGTTGCAGTGTTTTTAAATGTATAAATCAACAGCCTCCAACTATGAATTGAATGAAATTTATCTTTGATGGCTTTAAGATGAAATCATGCATTATTAGATTGCATGATGTTGAAATACAGCCGCCCCTGACTCTCCCCCTGCTCGCTCTGTTTCACGCGGATCTTTTACATGACGTCCTTGTTGCTTTGTGTGGAAATCCATATAACTCTTGCAATTAGTTGTGATTAGTGGTGATAAGCATTGTATAATCCCTCATTAATTTGCAGTTAGACAAGGTCCAGACCTAAAATGAAATCTGATATGCTTTATAGGGCTCTGCATACAGACAGCCTGCATTGCGCTGTAAAAAAAGATGAATGCTTGTTGCCTGTGCTTGGACATACGCATCTCATTCTTTCTCCCAAGTGAAAACAGCTCCACTGGAAATGGATAGTGGAAATGAGAGAGGCCAAAGGGGTTGTAAAATGCCACGGATCACGCTACACTTTGTTCTGTCCCTGTAATCACGCCTGGGAGGATGGAAAGTGCTCGGTTCAGATTGGATTGCCGAACAGCTCTGAAGCATTGCTCCCGCTCCTCTCCTCTCACCCAGGGTAAATCAGCCCTCGGACAGCCACAGACAAATGCAATAACAGAGCAGGCCAAACACAGCTGAGGTCCTCCCCAATGGGTGAAGGTTAGGACAAGTGCTGCTCACCACATGTGCCCCGCCCCCGGTAAAATAACGACGCCCCAACTGGATACAGCGCATCTGAAGCAGAGAATTGTAATCTGTTTTAGATGAGAAAATAGGACAGAAGTCTGGGAAGGTCATTAGAGAAGTGTCAACCACGTAATCAAGAATAGACCATTGATCCTCTTGTTGAGGGACATGTGGTTTGTTCTTTTCTTATCTTGGGAATTGTTCCAGTCCAGTGCAAAAGAAACATTGCAAAACATTCAAATCATTGAGCTGATCAACAACATGGAACAGCCGTCTCCCAATCAGCTTGGGGGACCGAGGGTTACCTTTAGCAAGGAACCTCAGCTGGGAAAACTGCCTTCACACACCTCAGCTCAAACTTGACGCAGCCAAGACAATCACTCTCCTCAGACAGAACTCATGCAACACCTTCAACCAGATCCCAGCCATTAATCACTCACTTACCCTTCTGCCACTTTATAATCTACTAACATCTGGACACGTATTGATAATCTGCACTGTCATCACCAGAATTTTGAAACTACTAGAACTCCCAATGCTAAACATTTTTGGTTTTTTTCCCAACTTTTATTTCACAAGTTTGTATTATAGATTGAAAAAATATCAAAATCTTTGTTTAGAAAGGCTACTAAATGCATAGACTGCTGTCAAGTTAAACAGTATGTTTCTATGGAGTAACTAAGCACATTCCCTGTGCGTAGATTGGCTCTGAAACCGGGTCCAGGACCCATACCGGGACCCGTCAGGACCAAGCAATCTACAGAAAAGGGCTTTACAGTTTTTTTCTCATCGCTGTGGGGGGCATTTGGATCGCACATCAGACCTTAAAGTTCTCAAAACTAATTCCGTTCAACCTCACACAAACATTGGGTCATTTTGTGCAAAACATCGTGGCAGTTTCTCATTCCTCTGAACACATTTTCAAATGCTTTTGTTCATTGTATCAATAACTTTCATGAACAATTAAGATTTGCTTCTTGTCCTGTCACTTTTATAACTTATCACTTCGACTTTAGTCATTCACTATACAAACTAACTGTCCTTCATTTCATCGCTTTAGTCCGTCACATACAAAATTGTTGACTAGTTCTCAAAATCAGAACTGTCAAGCTAATTTCATACATTCCTTCATATTTTTTTTCCTGTAAATCTTTCTAAATTGAACAATTTATCTCAGGTGAATTTCGCTTCACCTCATGAGGTTTTGCTTTATTGTTAATTTTTTGTCCACAGTTTCACATAATCTTTTTTCTTGTATGTTTTGTGCTATGTATATACATGTATGTGTCTGCACTTTCTACAGCATTGTGCAACAAAAAAACAAAAGAGCATATGCAGTACACATACATACATAATAAACTACACATACAAGGACATACATACATAGATACATAGATACCATAAACACACTATACTGTAATCTATGCATACAGTACATACATGATATGTTACAGAATGTCAGTTTATGTTTTCCACTCTAAAATACAGTCGTTTTGTGTCACGTTACTGTGAGTTTTTACGTAAATTTCTGTCAGG